GGGGATCGAACCGCGGTCCCTGTGCTTTGCCAAGCTTGTTTCAAGTAGGTGCTTTAGACCACTGAGCCATCTCTCCAGCCCTGTTGTCAATTTAAGACAATATTTAATAATGTACAAGAATTCTAATGTCTTCTGTCTAATATCTTTATTGGAATATTAAAAGTCCTCCTTTGAAAACTCTTAATTTTTTCTCTCAGCAGACTAATGGTAAAGATTTCAAAATTAATTAGACAAAACATATTTTTAGACAGAAAAATGTTGTAAAATATTTATTTGCTAGACTTTATGATGAATTATTTAGGGCCAGTTAATTTTGTCCCTTTAATGGTTTTTCTAAGCAGAATGGGATGTCTAAAAGGAGTATTTAAGATTTTTGTGCCTATTTGCTCATTTTCTTCATGCTACCTTCGGCTGTGATGAACAGTGAAAGCGAAAAATAATTACATGATTTTTTGTTATTCTTGGTTTCAGCACTTCCTAATTCAACTCTGAACACTCATCCATGAAAATTTTCTTTCCTTTCTAAACTTCTTTACCAACAGATTAATATATACGCTTTTTAAAAATAATCTTAATATCCTTTTGTCCCCTACAAACTAAATTCTTTGATGGCAGGATATATGTTTCTCTTCATAATTGTCAAAACCCAGCATATTCTCACATTATTCAATAAATAAATGCTGAGGGGCTTAGTAATTATTAACATGGAAGAACATAGTGTTTAGGTAATGCAATGCTTGCAGATAACATTACTTTACTGTTTCATTTGCTCGGTAAATACTTTTACTGAATTGGAATTGGCAAAATAACCGGAAGAGTCAATTTCATAGTGTTTTGTTTTATGAGAATACGTCTCATAATTATTAGGCAATCCACTTACAAAGAATTAAGCATTTTAAACTTTTTTTTTCCTTTTTACTATACTGAAAAACAAATTATTTATAACACACTAACTCAATAAATAATCAGGAAGATAATTCTGAGATATTTTTAATAGAACATGAAAATCCTTTAAAAATTTTTTTGATTAATAAAAATGAAGTTCTAAGAAATATTATTGTCTCAGTGAAATACTAAAGAATGAAATCTTTCATTAAAGAAGTATCATCACTTCAGAAAAATATGTCAGAAAAATCAGTTCAGAGGGCCACAGTAAACAATGATATATAATAAAAGACATTCTCCAAGTGGTAGTAAAAGTTGTTTAAAGGATACTCTTTGACAGATGTTTTATTACAACAAAGTAGGTCTGACAGCCTTTATAAATCCACAGAACAAGAAATATATTGCCTGGTCACAAAGTAGCAAAACTTCAAGTAATTTTGCTGTTAAGTATTTACTAAGTAAATGACTATAAAAGTAAGCAATTCTTTATTTCTTGAACTGCTATTCCAACATCTTTTGAATGAGATCTGATTAGAAAGTTTGGGTAATGTAAGAGTATTTAAGAGTTAGTTTTCCCATTGCTATGGTTCAGAGATTTTAAAATGATACTTTTTTTAACATCACAATCTTTCGAAACACTCTATCTCATACTCCAATTGCAGTCATCATCATAGCATGTTTTTGCACTACTGCCTTCCCCCATCCCCCATCACTCCAACAAATACAACTCCACTATGTCAAACATATCAAGAAATCACTGAATGCATCATGGCCTATTTTCAACAAATTTCTTAAAAGTCTGCTGCAATAGTTGATAAGAGATGACAAAGGAATAACAAAAAATCTAGGTAATTAATATTTTGAAAATACTTCAGAAAACTTGGAAAAAAGTTCATAAATACAACTTTAAATTTGTTATTTAGGATTTTTAAAACTTTAACAACATCTAAAATAAATACCACAGAAACTGAACTCACAGGTTAGGATTAGCAGTTTGTGGTACAGATATGGTTGAATTATTAGAATAACATTAAAAGAGACTAGCAATGTATAATAGCCAGTAGTTCAGTAATTTCTTACTGATACAAAGGATCAAGGGGTCAATGAAGAAATCACCCCTGAAACTCTCTTCATCTAACATATATCATTCAAAGCTATGTGTAGACAGATAATAATGTTAAGTCAACAATAAAAGTTTATCAGAGATTACTCTAATTTTCAATTTAAAGATCTCTGGAGCAATGTAACATTCCTTTCTGCATGTTACTAGAAAAGAAAAAAAGCAGCTGTTTTGTTTTTTTTTTTAATTTATGTATTTGGTACAGGGCCTCACTACACAGCTCCGACTTATAGTGATCCTCTTCTTTTCAGCCTCCCCAGAGCTGGGATTATAGGCCTGCGCCACCACACCTGGACTAAGAAAGCATCTTTAGCCTAAATAAATGTCAATCAATTTTATTTTAAGAAATCTAACTTAGCCTATCCCATGGAATATTCATGTATTACTTAACATTTGGTTTTTACCACCTGTTTATTAATCTTAAAAATTTATCTATTTTTAAAAACCTACTTTCATAATCAATGAATTATTCTTATAAAATGTATTCTTTTCTTTTTTTTTTAAACATTTATTATTATTATTATTATTGTGTGTGTGTGTGTGTGTGTGTGTGTGTGGCCAGCTCAGCCCACCAGGGGGCGGGGCTGGCTGGCATGTGGTGCTGGGGGATCGAACCGCGGTCCCTGTGCTTTGCCAAGCTTGTTCCAAGTAGGTGCTTTAGACCACTGAGCCATCTCACCAGCCCTAAAATGTATTCTTTTCTTCAATGAAATGCTAAGGTATAATTGGACTTACAGGAAGAACTGTGCCTATAAATGTTTAACCACTTTAATTGAATCTTATGTTGTTACCAGACACAAAGTTAGAAATTATTAAATTTTGTAACTGTGCATTTAGTTACATAAGATAACTTAAGTCTATCCTGCGCTTCAAACTGCTAACTTTAAATCACAGTCAATAAAAAGTTTTAATAGTGGATTTCAAGAAATCTAGGTCTCAGATAGAGATAGAGGCAAAGGATCATATTTGTTTCTTACTTTCTCATTATTCCATTGTGATACTGAGAAATGAAGCTTAATGAAAAATAAAATGCTCAGGGTTAAGGTAAGGTCTAGAAGAAACTATAATTATACGTATATCAAAAAAGTAAACTATCACATAAGTGTCTTATATGGCTAGAGTGGTTGATACACTGTGTCAACTTGAGATGTTGGAAGCTTGGATTCTGTAACCTGGGGTCTAGGGGCCCCCACTAAGGGCAGGGAGGGCCTACCCTAGAGTGACTCAGCACAATAAGAGTATATAAAGGGGTTGAGGAAGGCTTCTGCACGCTACTTCCTTGGAGGAGCTTGGTCATTGCAGCCTTGCCACTTCTGAAGAGCTCCAATCTTCACAACAGCCACTGCTGCCACTTCCTTGGAGGAGCTCTGGTCTTCACAGTCAGTGTAGAAGGAAGAGAGCCTTGATAGAACCCAAAGCTGCTGCTGCTCCTCTGTTCTTCATTGTTTTCTGCCACCATGAACTGTTGTCATCTGCCTTGGAGCCAGTGGAATATGGAATGAAACCTCCACTAACTGTGAGCTAAATAAACTTTTCTTCCTGCATTTTGAGTGTTGGGTATTTGTCCCAGCAACAAGTGAAAAGTAACTAAGACAATGGTGAAAGCTTATGTGCAACTGAACTACATCTAAGTAGAAAATAGAAGCTTTTCTTTACAATAAATTTTGTTTACTCTTAAAACAAAACTAACTTTTACAAGTATTTTAGGAGAATATTAAAGTGCCAAATCATTCAACATCCCAAGAGTATTCAGCCCTTTAGAAGTCAGCTAAGCAACTCACACAAATTCACAAGGCTGAAATTTTATTCTTTTGTTTGAAAATGGCTAAGATGTGAAAGAGTGCGATGCCAACTAAATATATCATCAGTAGCTCTGGTAGACATATCCTTTTGAAAGGAAAAAATATTGCCATAGATATACTTGCAAATACCATTTTGGTTTTTTAATCTATCTGCTTTAAAATGCAACCACTTTTATAATGTAATACAACTTACAGATTGACCTTGTAATTCTGCTAAAGTGCTAAATGCACTTTATTTATAAAATATTTTTGGGTCAGCTTTAGCTCAAGCGGTTATTTCCTCACGCCGGACTTTCCATCCATCTATAAAATATTTTTGTCTTAATCTAATTTAATAAAGTATATTAAAAATAACTGTTGCCACTACTTTTGATGCAGCTAAACAAGAGATATTTATAAAAATAAATTACTTTTCATCCATGTGACTTCTCATTTTCTTCAGTTTCTGCATGATGCTACTAGTTTCACTGCTAGAGATTGAAATGGGAGAAGGACTGCGGGTTTCCAAATCAGTTGGACCAGGACTAGTTGCCTTATTATTCTTTGTATCATCCTCATCATCATCACTATGCGATTCCTGGAAACAAAAAAAGCACAAAATTTTATTGGACTTTATAAGGACCATGAAGATATTTTAAACATTATCAATTCAAAATTAAGTTTAAACTTAAAATAATGTTTGTAACAATAGCTGACATTCAGTGCAGGGGCTGGGGACTCAATCCCTGGGCCTGCTGTGCCAGCCCCACCCCCGGGGCTTGCCGAGATGGCAATTGAGACTAGGCGTGGTGGCGTGTGCCTGTAATCCCAGCTCGTAGCAGGCTGTAAACAGGTGGATCACTACAAGTCCGATCTAGTAGTGAGACCCTGAACACCCTGTAGACCCTTCCCTAAAATAAAAAAAAAAGCTGGCATTCAGATATTACTTAAAAAACAAAAACATCACACCTGAAAATGGCTAAATTTTTGTTATGCACATTTTTACCAAAAGTCGGTAATGTAATACCAAGTTGTCTATAATACCAAGAAAAAAAAGGAAGGGGGGAGGAGGGAGGGGCAGGAGAGATAAGCAGGAAGGAAGGAAAGAAAAGGGGAAGGGGAGAGGAGGGAGAGGGAGGGGAAAGGAATTCAGGGAGGAAAGGGGAGGGGAGGAAAGGGAAGGGAAAGCAAGCATTCAAGCAAGAAAGAGAGAAGGGGAGGGAAAGAAATTCAAAGAACTAAAAAAAAAAAAATTAAAAATAAATTGGGTGTGGTGGTGGGCCAAGCATATAATCCCAGTACTGGGAGGAAGGGGGAGGGGACTGAGGCAGGAGGATCACTGTGAGGTATGAAGCCAGCATGGGCCCCACAGCGAGGTCAATGTCAGCCTGAACTATATAGTGAGACCAGTTCTCAAAAAACCAAAAAGAAAAAAAGTAGGTGGGTATCTGACAACCTCCTAGCAGTAGCAATCTAGTATCTACATGTCCACTCAGAAGGAATGCAAAATTAAGATACCCTGACTGCTTAAAACATACAGTATGTCACAAAAACAGACCAGAAGGCATAAAGCATTTTAAATATACCAGGGAATAGATTTTTCCATTAAATATTCACTATAAAAGCAATATTTTCTTTTCTTTTTTTGGCAGAACCAAGGATTGAACTCAGGCCCTTGTACTTGCCAAGCAAGCACTTATTCTACTGAGCTATCTCCCTGGCCCCAAAAGCAGTATTTTCAAAAATTAAAGAAATTTCATACTGAAACATTTAAGAACTACTGGTTTAATCAATACACTGCTTTTGAAAAGTAATGAAAACTGAATTGCTCAATATATCTTTCAAATTAAAATATGCAATGTATTAATTATTGTAACTGTCCTACTAATCTGTTTTCTAATTGTCTCATTGCTATTTCTTTTTCTTCTTTTGTGGAAGCAGGGATTGAACTCAGGCCCTTGCACTTGCCAGGGAAGCGCTTATTCCACTGAGCCATCTCCCCCGCCCCCCTTCGCTGCTATTTCTTTCTTAATAAAATTACAAATAAATAATTTTTTTAAACCACACACACACAAAAAAAAATTACTCTTATATTTTCAGGAAGATGAATAGGAATAATCTTGACTTTTTATTTTGTGAAAAATACAGACAAAGCAGTGCCCTTTTTCCCATTCCCCTTTTTGAATAATTCAATTCTAAAACCATTTCATGAAGCAGAACAAGGCAGGTATCCATGCAAGGTAGAAGGAGATGGGGCCAAGAATGGGCTGTCAGAATCTAGGTATAACGGAGACTTCATCTAATGCAGGAGAGTGGCTGTATGGAGAGCCAGAGCCCACGTAGAGCAATGAGGAAGCTCACATGAAAGTAGGCCAGTATATGAAACAGTAAGTTCAAGACCAGCCTAAACTACATGGTGAGATCTTGTCTTAAAAAAAAAAAAGGGAGGTTACATAACGAGGAATGATAAAACTATTAACTATATTAAGGAAAATGTTAACCAGTTATCTGTCAGAAAAAGGAGTCCTAAAATAGAAAAAAAACCTAGAGTGAACATTATGGTGCTGGATTAGAGTTGAAATATGAACTTGATTTTACACATACATAAAGACATAAAATATGTGTGGCTATCCACATTTACATTACAAATATATTCCTTAGATTTAGTTGATTATGAGGAGCAAAACTCGGAAGCAATGAATATGCCTAGGGCCATATTTCAGTTTTTCAAAAACCTTTCTCAAAATATCAGTTCACTTTTAAGGTTGGAGCAAGAGAAGTTTAAAATGACTGTGTGAAACATCTTATATCTAAAAGTAAGAAAATTCTCAAGACTGAACTATACCAAACATAGAAATCTGTTTGAAGGAGTGTTACTCTTTTGTTTTATTTTCTGTATTTGACTTGAACTCAGAAATTTGGCCCTAGCTACGTCCACAGCCCCTTAGCACCCTACATCACCGTTTAAGTCTTTTTTTTTTTTTTTACCATTTAAGTCTTGCTAAATTACTAAATTGCCCAGTCTGGGCTCAAACTTGTAATCCTGCTGTGCCAGCCTCCCAAAGTATGGGGATTAGAAGGTTCATCACTACAACCAGTTGAGAAGAAGCTCTTAATGGTCCAATTTGGGTTTTCTTTCTTTTTTTTTTTTTTTTCGTGCAGGGTCTCACTACACAGCCCACAGTCATAGTGATCATCCTGATTTCTGCCTCCCAAGTGCTGGGATTACAGGCGTGTGCCACCACGCCCGGACTCTATCACAAGCTCAGCGCGCCCGGGGGTGGGGCCAGTGTGGCATGTGGTGCTCCAGTTTGGGACAAACATTAAGTTATGATTATAACATTATATGTGAGTACAACAAGAATTCAAGAGTAGACAGAAACATAAATTAAAATTTAATAGAATATTTACAGTTTCAAAATACTTCTATGCAAAATAATTAGTAATTCTAAAGGAAAAGACAGTTAACTTTACAGTGAAGTATGGGAGATACTGCCTTAATCAAGTGATCATGGCAACATTACCAACTGAATCAATATCATGTGCCACCTGAAAGACTAAGAACACACAGCACCACTTCTGTTATTTTCCTGCCATAAATCTAATTATGAAGAAACATCAGACAAAACTTAGCTAAGAAACAAATATTCTGGGCAAGGTGATGCACACTTATAATCCCTGTATTCAGGAGCCTGAGACAGAAGGATTGCTGCAAGTTCAAGGCCAACCTGGGCTACAACAGTGAGTTCATGCCAGTTGCAACTACATAGCAAGATCCTGTCAAAGACGAAGAAAGAAGCAGGAAACAGAAAGCAGAAGGAGAAGAGGAGGAAGAAGAGAAAATTAACATTCTACAAAATAACTGTCATATAGTCTCTTAGCATGTCCAAATTATGAGAACCAAAGAATTTTTCCTGATTTAAGAATACTAGGGAGGGGCTGGGCAGATGGCTCAGTGGAATAAGCGCTTCCCTGGCAAGCGCAAGGGCCTGAGTTCAATCCCTGGTTCCGCCAAAAAAAAAAAAAAAAAAAGAATACTAGGGGTACATGAAAACTAGATACAGTATGTCATTCAACAATTACTTTTCCTATAAGGAACACTATTGTGACAAATAGAGAAATTTAAAGAGTCTGTAGATTACAAGCTAATGTGTCAAAGTTAATTTGGCTACTTACTATAGTATGACTCAGGAAAACAGAATTACTTGTATTGTGTTTGAAATTTCCCTATAAATTTGAGATTGTTTCAAAGTAGAGAACAGTGACATTAAAAATTATACTACTATGTACTGCTGATTTTTACAACATTCTATTAACATTTTATAGTACCTTAGAATAGATTCAGATTTTTTTCTTGTGTAAATATTTCCTGAGTCCTATTCCATTATAATATTAAAACTGGATAGCAAAACTAAGCATATAAAGAGGAAAACAGCAACTACTATTAATTCTGAATATATTTGGATTGTTCATCAAGATCAATGCTTTCTGTTCCAGTTTAGTTCATGAGTGGAAAACATTTTAAGTTAATATAAGAACTATGCACCCTTTTTAAAATAAGAATATTATATGGAAAGGGGTGAGGAATTCCCAGTACGATATAAAAAAAAAAAAAAAAAAAGACACATATACAGAACTTTAACCTATTTCCAGGCATAATAGCACATGCCTGTAATCCCAGCACTTGGGAGAACTGAGGCAGAAGGACTGCTGTGAGTCTGAGGCCAACCTTGGCTACATGGTGACTTTAAGGTTAACCTGATCTGTACAGCAAGACCCTGTCTCGAAACCAAAGAAACAGAACTTTACCTTACTTCATTATGATAACATACCATTTGAATACACATAATCATATTAGAAAATCAGGTAGATATCAGCAAGCTACATGCAACAGAAAATAAACTACATGTAATTTACCAATTTGTTCTCCCCTGCAGACTTCAACTTCTCCTGCAGTTTTATAGTGGTCTGTCGGATCCTTTCTATCTCCTCCTGCTGCTTAAGAATCAGTTGTCTTTCTTTCCGAGCTGCCTTATTGGCTTCTTGAAGACGTTTTATTTCTGCCTAAGATTTGAAAAGGTAGGAACGAGATTGAAATTTGAAGCATAAGTCCAAAGTAATATTTTAAAAAGAAAAATTTAATAATCACATATTACAAATAAATAAATATAGTATTTCAAGATAAATATGCAAGAAAAATACCACTGAAAAAGATTTCAAGGGCTGGCCAAATAGGTCAGCGGGTTGGGGTTGGGGGTGTGATCCCAGGGCCTGCAATGTCAGCCCTGCCCCCTGGGGCACACTGAGAGGGCAATTGAGACTGGGTGTGGTAGTGCTTGCCTGTATTCCCAGCTCTTGGGAGGCTGTAAACAGGCGGATCACTATGAGGCCCATCTAGTAGTGAGACCCTGATCACCCATAGACCCTTCTCTAAAATATAAAAGATAAATAAATAAAAATAAAAGATTTCAGTTTAGTAATGGAGAGAAAATCATATGCAAAGCCACAATTCTAAAATTGCTTACAATGATCTCTTAATTTTAAAAAATCAAAATTAAAACACACTGATAGTTTCATGGTCCTTTTTAAACTTAACATATATCATCATCCAGGTTTTTTCACAATGCTACCTTGTCTTTACACTTAACTCTTTAATAATTTCATATCCAGTAAACTTATTAATGTAACAGTAAACTCTTAGACCTTTACAATTTTAACTATTTGAAATAATGATTTTGTATATATAACAGTTTCATACTATGGAACAGTATGTAAGAGATATTCCAAAAAGTTAGGACAAACAAGTGACAGAAGACAAATCATTTTACTGATGAGGACATGAAACACAGAGAAATTAAATTATTCAAAGTTATAAAACTTAAAATTAGAAAGTTAGGATGGTAGCATAGGCCAGTAATGGCAAACTTTTTAGAGGTTTCAATGATAGTTTGCTGTGGCAAACGTGCCATAGGTTCCTACCACTGGCATAGGCAATATGACTCCAGAGTTCAAATTTTTAACCACCATACTGCTATTACCATACATATACTGCCTCTCTAGAATTCAAAACCAAGGCTTTTCTAAATCTACTAAGCAAAACCATTTGTCAATATATGATTAGCATGCCATGAAAATCAAGAGAAACAATCATTAAAAAGTTAATCCAAATACTTTTTTGTACTGATTTTTAAAATATATATTTCAAAAAACTACTACACAAAGGCAGAAAACTTGATTACATACTAAGTGTTCAGTGACACAATTCTAAAATAATAGAAATATGGTAGGTTATCAAGGAGCCCCTATAATTATAGCCCCATAGGCATACAAGTGTGAGCATCTGAATCTCATTTAAGGGTATAAGAAAAAGATATTAGGCAAACTAACAGCTTCCACATACTAAACTGCCGTATAAGGGTTATAAACTGTCCTATAAAGGTGTCTTTCCTAACATACCTTTTCTTGCTGCAATCTTAAAAGCAATCCACGCTGTTTCTTCCGGAGTGGAGGCATTTTATCATCCTCTCCTTTGTCTCGTAGATGTCTACAAATATTTTCAATTGAGACAAAGATGATTAATTTATAACTTTAAGAATTTTTAACTACTGAACAGTCTATAAAATAATTTTAATATTTTCATGTCAAAAATGGTTGCTATGTGCAGCAATTTCTTTCCCAAGCAATTATATTACTAAGTGTATGAAATATATGTATGACTCAGACTATATCCTTTAAAGACTGAAAGACTTGAGTGAGATAACACTGAAAAAGAATTAAGTTTAAAATAGCAACAAAAGATGAGAGTCAAGAGTGATAAAAAAATGAAATAAAAATGTTACTTGTTTAGGAAGGTCTTAAAATAATCTTGAAATTAAAGATTACTGCTATATCCCTAGCTTAACTGAGATAATCAAATCAAATTTAATTAACATACATAAGCCCCAGTACCATCAGGATAAAAAAAAAAAGAAATAAAAATACTTTAAAACATAAAGCATTTCCTTTTGTGAAAGAAACAACAGTGAAAATGATGCTCACTGAAAGAACTTACTTTTTTTGATGCTCTAGCCAGGCTAACTCAGCCTTAGTTTTTTCCTTTAAGGCCTTTTCACGTAGACGTAAAAGTGAAGACTGGTGAGCTGCTCTCATTTCTTCTTCTTTCATATACTGTCGAACCATCTCCATAGTAAATTTAGAAAAGCTGTCTTGTTCTCCTGAGAATGGCATGCTCAGTTCCTAAAGGTTATTTCAAGTATTTCATCTTTCAGTACTTAAGGTCATTAAACAGAGATATGCATCCACAGAAAAAATTATGAAGCCAAGTGAGCTACCAAACCACTGCAAGGAGCTTTGTAATCCCAGTTACCTGGGAGGCTGAGGCAGGAGGATCATTTGACAGCAAAGTTTAAGATGAAACTGAGCAACATAGAAAGATCCCATCTCAAAAATAAACAAACAAACAAAAGGACTGCAGTGATGTAAAAGAACATTCAAAGTATACATGAGATGGATTAATATTCATCTGCTAATCACTGCAAGCCATATACTGCCTCACAGATACAAAGCTGGGTTCAAATTTGTTCCTATTATACAAAAGTCATACAATTTGGAAAGAAGAATGAAGGTAAATTTTTATCTTTTTAATTTTTTTTTCTTGCTTCTATTTCTTTTTTATTTTTCCCCATAATTTTATTGAGAAACAAATAGCAATGAGACAGTTTCAAACCAAATTGGTAGGACAGTTTCAATAATTAACACATTGCATACATTCTTCCTACTAGTTAATTGCTGTACAAGATGCGGACATGACATCCTATTTACAAACACCATTAGAAAAAATCCCTCTATTCATTAAGAGAATGTAACTATATATCTATCCTAACCACTTTGAATACACAGATACAAAATGGACATTCATCTGTATCCCCTTTTTTTGTTAAGTTCCATCATTTAAATATTATAGGTGTGTAAACTCAGCAAAATATTCTAAAAGATTCCAGTAGTCCATAATAGTATTGGGTCTTCTGCTTCACTGGCAATACCAGAAATTGTTGACCTGAGTCCCCTACAGCTCAACATAACACCATGGCTTTATTTCTTATATTTCATTTTTATACTTTTCTGCTGGATGAAGACCAAGGTAAAGCAGGACCTATGCAACAAGAGTTGTAGTTTTGGGGTATGATAAGATCAGTGAAATCCCCTCAGGATTTATGCTGAGATTCTGTACCTCAAATTGTAGATCCTTTGTCAGTGTCAGCCATGTGGATGAGTCACGGCCATTGCTTGGCTAATGTGCTCTCTGTGAAAGCCTGAGAGAATGTTTTCTCTCCATGTGACTCTCCTTAGGCACACTCTACATCATCCATCATTTTCTTCTTTGACCCCATAATCTCCTTGATCAGAAAATTTGGGATACTGCTGAGTTACATGACATTACAGTGCAAGTTCTCATATGTCCTGAGTCTTAATTGACCTTCGAAGCCTAGGCCCAAAATGTTGGCTTTCCTTGCGGCCCTACTTTTTCTCTAATTTTGGTCTGCAAACTTAGGTTGTTAACCATCCAGAAGACAAGCTTATTGTCATTACCATACAACCTAGGCTGTTAAGCTTAACCTCACTATATGTCTGAATATCAAACATCTTAGGCATAATATGTTACAGGTATTTTTCATCAAGTATTGATATGTTGAACTTTAAGTCCATACAGAATATGATGAAAAAACATTTAAAAATTAGAATATATTTTAAAAATAGGTATAAAGAATTATATAATTCTTATGTTTACACATAAGTCCAAAAATCTAACCTCTTGAAGGCAAGAGACAGGAAAAGAAATGTTGTGGGACTGTCCTGCTTCAAGGTTGTATATTAGAATATATATACAACCTTGAAGCAGGACAGTCCCACAACATTTCTTTTCCTGTCTCTTGCCTTCATTCACCACCTCCTTCTTTTTGAACAATCATCTATCCGAGAGACAACACAGCAACAACTGGCATGTCATGACAAGCAGCCCGTATTCAGAAGACCGAAATGACAGGCACTCTAAGCATGAACCTACTATTACAAATTGCCATCTTCAGTGCAGTTGCTTAGTTCACAGGTGTCAGTATATATAGTTAGTCAGGGTGAGAATCTTTCCAATTAACTGTTAGATTCAAAAATCTTCTGGAGATTCTCAGGATCATCGCCTTGCCCATCTTCTACATATAACTGTATGGCTTGACATTGTCATGTTTCCTAGCTCTTCTCCTTTTCCTCTCTTAATTAGTTAGTCCTCGAGTTCTTGCTTTCCTTTTACTTGTATTATACCTTTCTATTTTTATTTCTTCTTTTGAGTTCTTATACTAAGGAAACTACGATATTTACACGTGTCTGGTTTATTTCACTTATGAGTATATCGTCAAGTGGCATCCACTTCAATATAAAACCTTCGAGTTTATCATTCGTTATAGCTGAGTAATACTCCATTGTATAAAAATACCACATCTTTTTCATCCATTCCTCAGGTGATGGGCAGGTAAATTTTTAAATGGAATCAAATGTTAAAAGCATGAAGCAGGGCCAGGGAGAGAGCTCAGTAGAATAGGCACTTGCCTGGCAAGTGCAAGGTCCTCAGTTCAATCCCTGGTACCGCCAAAAAAAAAAAAAAAGTGCAAAGCAAATTAAAAGCTACAAAGGTAACACTGGTTTAGATCCTAAAAGGCCTTATTTCATTTTAAGGAACAGTTTTATATTCTACTAAGGAAGTTAAGGCCAGATTTTATAGGGAAAAATAAAAAACTGATGAGCTTAGGAAAATAATTCTGGTAGTTGGCAACATACATGTATTCTCATATCCTTAAGAGTAAATCTACTTTGAAGCAAATGAAAACAGACCTTGGTAGAAGATAGCATAGTCTTGTCTGGGGAAGCTTCTTCATCAGAGTCCTCATTATGGCCTCTTTTCTTTTCCATGTTAAATCTACGATGACTTTCAGAAGGTAGTAAAGATCGAAATGATTTTTCTTCTATTTCATCTTCTGTCATGGATTCATCAAATTTCAGGGAATATTCTGTTGCAATAGAAGTTGAATCTTAAGAGAACAGAGAGAAAGATTTTATCATATGATTTTATCATTGTATGTTCTCTGTTATTTTATTAGCGACCCTTTGCCTCTTCCTAGGACAATCAAACAAATTAAAACTGACCACTAGCAATTAATAGGCATGGAAAAATGTCTTGGTTACTTTTCTCTTGTTGCTAAAACAAAATACCTGATGCTCAAAATTGAGGAAGGGAAGGTTTGTTTAGCTCACAGTTTGTGGAGGTTTGACAGAGGGCAATATTTCAAGGCAGTGGAAGACAGAAAAAGGAACAAGAGCAAAAAGGAAGAAGGAACAGAGCAAGGCTTTTTCTCTCCCTTCTATTGTATGCAGGTTACTAGCCCCAAGGTGGGTATAGCACTTGCACCCATAATCCAAGCATTGGACCATGAATCAATCAAAAACTCTTGCGGGCCAGGGAGATGGCTCAGTGGAGTAAGCGCTTCCCTGGCAAGTACAAGGGCCTGAGATCAATCCCCAGTTCTGCAAAAAAAACCCATCTAGAAGCCCACCCTATGACTGCATGAGGCTTTTGGGGGAACATCTAGACACAAGCCATAACAAACAAAAAACAGAATTCATTTACTGAAAAAAAATCTCTATGACATGTAGAAATACTAGATAAGTATGGTAAAAGATTAATGTACTTCATATTTAAATAGGCCTTATAGATCAATGAGAAAACCACTAGTACAGCTATAGAAAAATGATCATGTAATTCACAAAGAAAATGTAAACAGTCAGAAGGAAAAAAAAGTTACAACAAAGGATTAAAACATCTTTTTAAAACCTCATTAAATTCATAGTTACTTAGAAACATGATAGCTCTTTTAGGTTGGTATAAGTGTGCCTCTGACATATCCCAAACTTTTGTTTAGTACTTCCTCACTTTCTGGTACCACTAAAGGCTCTATTTTCATTCTGTATTTTTCCTGCAGCCTTAGAATGATCCATTTCTCCAAAGAGCTCTGGTTTCTTTTATTGGAGAATATTTAGAAACCATAATCTGAGAACTGGTCATCTTTGTTACCACTGGGTATCAGTGCTTCTACACTTGCTCAATGGACAAGGCTTAGTGGTATCTGTGTGTGCACTCACTCACCTATACATACATGAGCATGCACACACACAAAAAAAATATTTTTGTATCCATTCATCTAACAAGCTAAACATGAATTCATACTGATGTCTGATTCAAATTCAGTACCAGAGTTCATTCTTGTCTTCCTTTCTTATGTGTCTTCAATTTCCCTCTTTAATACTGAGACACCTGTTTCCTACTTTTCAGTATCCATTTATTTATTTGTTCAACTCCAATACGTAAGTAAAGAAAATTAACTTGTATACCTGTGAAAAACAAATTTATCAACTAAAATATAAGCTTAATTTTTTATATTTAGCTTATAATTTCTGTCAAAACACCATTTTCCAAAATATTTAGTCAGTTTTTTGCCCTGTTAATCTAGAGTATCAACCTGATTGGACTGAGAGATGCCTAGAAAACGAGCAAGGCACATCATCTCTTAATGTGGCTGTGACAACATTTCTAAAGTCAGCAAACTGAGGTGAGGAGAACCCACAAGAAGGTGGGCAGCACCATCCAAAAGGCTGAGGGCTCAAAAATAACAAAAAGCAATGGAAACTTGTAAATGAACACAAGCTCAAAAGCAAGTGTTTTTTGCTGATGCCATTGGTCATGGACATCAGACTCCAGATTCTTCAGCCTTTCAATAAAGAACTCACATAAGCCAACCTCTAAAGAGATTTTAGACCTTCAAACCTGAGACTGGGGATGTATCATTGATCCCTCATGTTCTGAGCATTCTGGCTTAAGACTGAGCCACCACTAGCACTCTAGCCAACAGTCACGCATTATGAGACTACACAGCTTCTGACTGTGTATGCCAGTCTAATAAATTTCTTATAGTCACATGCATATTGTACTATATTCTCTGTCCCTCTAGAGAACTCGACTAATATGACTCCCCACTCCTCACGTAGATATGCCATACATTTGTAACACAATTAGATTCATTGGTCACAGCTACATTCAATCCTGGGAACCCCCAACATCTGGACTGTTGTGTATATTGTACATCTCTGGTTCACATACATTGAAATTGTCTCTTTGCAGGTGGATGTGGTAATGAACACCTGTAATCGCAGCTACTCGGGAGGCTGAGTCAGGATACCAGTTGAGACCAGTCTGGACAAGTTAGTGAGACTATCTCAAAAAAAAACTGGGAATGGGGATGTAGTGCAATGTAGCTAGCTCAGCAGTAAACTGTTTGCCTACCATGTGGAAGGCCTTGGATCCCACCTCCAGAATTGCCCCCATCAAATCCTCTTCGTGATATACAACTTCAGCATTTTGAGAAATGTGTATGTAGCATCGTACAGAACATGCAACTAATATATGTAAGCATTCCTCTATCCTAAAAGTTCCCCTGTATATTTCCTTTGTAGTCAAGTTCTACATTTTACCCAGAAGATGAGTATCATTAATCCGCTTTCCACCCTTACAATTCCATCTTTTCCAAAGCATGATATAAATGAAATCATACCACATATAGCCTTATAGAGCTTGTCTTCAATTACTAGATCATTTAAAATTTATCCACATCGTTGTATGAATCAATAATTTGTTACTTTAAAATTGATACCTGAATTATTAAATACCTGAATAGTACTCACTGCACCTGTTTGTCTGTCTTGCTTATTAGCAATTATCAATAATATTGCTACTAACATTAAGGTACAGACTTTTGAGGATGAAAGTTTTCAAATCACTTGATAAATAACCAGTGATGGCTGGGAGTAATGTTATAAATCTTAAAAGACACTATGAAACTTGCACAGTAGTCATATCATTCCCTGTTCTTACCAGCAGTGAATGAAAATTTTTATTTAGCATCATTACGTCACCAATTTATTACAGTTCTTTTTAAAAAATGTTAGCTATCTCATAGGTATACTATAGTATCTTACTATGGTTTTTTCACTTTTCCCTCAAGACAGGATCATGCTATGTTACTCAGATTGGTCTTAAGTGATCCTTTGGCCTCAGCCCTTCGTGTGCTGGGAATACAGGTGTATGCCACCACACCTGACTCTCATTGTGACTTTATTTGCCATCTGTATATTTTCTTCAAAGAAATATCTGTTCAGGTCTTTCATATAAAACTGACCTGATTTTCTTATTGTTGAATTTTAAGGGTGCTTTATAGATACTGGATACAAGTCCTTATCATTTTTGTGACTTGTAAATATTTTCTCCCAGTCTGTAGCTTATCTACTCATTTTTAAAAATACCATTCTCACAGAGCAGAAGTGTTTCAACTTTGACAGAGTACAATTCACCAATTTTTTTCTATTATGCATGATGCCTTGAAATATGATATCTAAAGTCACTACCAAAGTGAAGGTCATCTAGGTTTTCTCCTGTATTTTCCTCTGTATGCAAATCTATCTATCTTTCTTTCTTTCTTTCTTTCTTTCTTTCTTTCTTTCTTTCTTTCTTTCTTTCTTTGTCTTTCTTCTTAGTAAGGGTCTACAGGGTCTGATTATGTAGATCAGACTTGCAGTGATTCTCCTATGTTCAGCCTCCCAAAGAGCTAGGATTACAGGCATGCACCACCACTCCCAGTCTCATTTGAGGTCTGAGAGCACCCTGGGGGTGGGGTCTGCAGACAGACCAGGGATCAAACCTCTGCCCCCTGCATCTGTCTAAGCAGGCACTTTAATCCACTGAGCTATTTGACCAGCCCTGTATGCAAATTTCTAATGGCTCAATTTCTGTTTCATTTTTCCCTGTGAAGTCTAGGTGCTTTGGTCTCTTTGAATTCCTAGTGCTGTATTTTCAACTCAAGGAGACCTGTGGATACCATGCTTTGTGGTCTGGAAACCTCCAGGCCAGAGATGGTGAACTTTTAGGGTTATCAATAATATAAACAGTCCACTATGGTATGTATGCCATAGGTTCACCACCATTGCTCTAGCAAGTAAGTTCAGGTACTCAAAGGCATTTCATCTCATTTGCTTCCAGTCTCTTGTAAGTATCATTCACTATCCGATATACAATGCCCTGGAAACTGTTATTCCACATATTTTTCTCTAATATTTTAGCTGTTAGGAGGAAAAGTACATTTAGCCCTTGTTCCTCCACCATGACTAGAAATAGCAGTCCAAGTATTTTTTTTTTTTTTTCTATATACAGGGTCTTACTACATAAATCAGACTTGTAGTGATTCTCCTGTTTTCACCCTCCAAGTGTTGGGGTTACAGGTTTTTACCACTATGCCCAGTCTCCATCGCTGTCTCATCATGCCCTGCAGGCAGCACTGGCACAGCATGCCAGGGCTAGAACACCAGCCACTGGGCTCTGCCTCAGAAGGTGCTTTAGTCCGTTGATGGCAGTTTCATCTTTCTGGTCCTAAAGAGCAAAGTTGGCTTGTCCTGTAGGTACAGTAGAGCAACAGTCCCCATACTTTGTCTCAGGGGCAGACTGGCTCCTAAAAACAAGTAGATGAATGTTCGTAACTATAGTCAGGTCTCAATGTCTTGCTAATTCCAGGGCCACCTTTTGTTGATTAAGCTCCAGCCAAAGGAGAAAAAGGTTAAGTAAGGAGATCTCTAGACCATATCTTCTATAAAGCAGACTACTTGAAAATCAGCTAGTGGTAAAACACAGAAGCAACTGGCTATCAAAGTCCCTTGTAAGAGTATCCCCTCTGCTTCAAGAGTGAGGAACTCTTCATTACCAGCCTGGTGCTGTGGCCATCAATGAATTGAGATGAAGTCCCCTGAGTTAATGATTCACAAATTCCTCTTTTAGCATCTGGTGGAAAAATTGCTCAGCACTTCAAAATAGATCTGCACTTTCAAAACATAATTTCTGGTGCTCTACAGGAGGCAAATGAGGCCTATCTGGTAGTCTTTTTGAAAACACTAACTTGTATTCTATCCACAACAAACATTTAGCCATCACACCAAAAGACAGTCAACTAGCACATGTTATATACAGAGAATGCACTTAAGAAATTACTATGACAGGAAACATTTCATTCTCAACACACACACACAGATACACACACACACACACACACACACACACACACACACTCTCTTCTTCCTGTTACTAGCAGTTCTGAACATTACATATTTTTCACCATAAATATATGATTACATGGAGAAAAACAGGACTAAAATTAGGTATTGGCATGTTTCCATTTTCATTTGCTATTAATTTTTAATATACATTCAAGATGTGAAGCACTAATTCAAATAATGTTTTATTTAAAAAGTTTCAGCAGTTCAACTTGATAACAATTTTAAATAAATACGTTAAATTTTTCTGGATAATGTTGTCATTTGGATTTTCAAAAAGCAATTAAATTGCTTACTGTAGAGAAAGAAAGAAAAAAAAAAAGAGATAGCTCCACCCTTTAGAACTCAGTAGATAGCCTTGCTATTTGGGAGGGTAGTGACAGGAGCAGCATCCAAATCTGTGAATTGCCCTGGAAGTGATTCCTGGGAGGATATGCAGGTTTGCAACAGGAATCCCAAGTGTTCTACTCTTCTCCACCAACCCCAGTATTTTCTCTAGAGCATGCTTTCTTATTTTTTACAATATGGAGAAGCTGAGAATTTTCTAAGTGTTCAAATTCAGATTTTTTTTTTTTTTTGCTTAATAATTCCTTTACTATAATCAGCAAGAAGAAACTAGGCTACTGTCTCATTACTGTGTTTTGAAATCTTAAATACTTTTATTTTCCAGAAAATACTAGAGCACAGTTCAGTTATTTGCTACTTTCTAACAAGATCTTTTCCTCTAGATTTCATAATAATGATAATACACATGCTAGCAAGGAAAGTCACCTTTCTCATCAGGAAGAGATGGAATGTTATCACTTTGTAAAGAATCATCTGCAGCAGTTTGAAGCTGTTCATCAATTGAACTCTCCATCTTTTCATCATGAACTTTCTTCTCATTTTCTTTACAAGACAGAGCTGAAGGACTTTCTTTACGGCTATTACCACTACTACTTCTGTTTATGGATTTTATGGAAACAAACAAACAAGCAATTAAAAGTTACAACTTCAAAGTAAATTTATTTGACTAAAAGATGATGCTTTATAATCAAGATATGAAGAAAATGCTATATAAAACACAAACAGGTAAGTAGAAATACATCTGAGAATAAACTATTTTGAAAGAGATGAATATGAGACAGGTTTTCCTTTCAAATCTTTTTAATAGGTAGCCATTACTGTTGGGTTATCATCCCTTTGTTCCTTTCATTTCTGGGAAACTAAAGGAAACTTCTGATAAAGCAGACATATATTCATTATTTCTATTTCCTTTTGTTAACATCATGGTTTATCATAATCTCACTGCATCCCAATAATTGTACTGCAACTGTTTTCTACCTAACTGTAAATTCTACCCTAAACTCCCAACTTCCAAAACCAATTGATAATATTTTTCTTTGCAATATTACATAGCACTGAACCTTTTTTAAAAAGCTCTACTTGCTAAAGAAAATGTGGTAAAATGTTAATAGGGTAATCTGGATGGTATTTGAGGACTTTGTGGGGTTTTTTGCAACTTTTGAGAAAGTCTGAAATTATGTCAAAAGTTAAATAAAAGGTCTCTGTTCCTATATTCCATAATTTTACTCACTTTATACCTTGGTAAGTTTACCTGTGTATGTTTCACTTGCTTACTACTGTTACTTAGACTTAATCTCAAATCTGTATCACTAGCCTTGTCCTTTACAATATTAAGCTTTAACTGTCCAATGCCTAACTAACTTTTGTCTATTCTTTAACAAACTAAAAATAGAAAGTATTCTCCCCTATGTTTTCCTTCTTCCACCTTTCTGGTTTACTCATTCATTTAACAGTATTTTTAAAATTTAAAAGATATTAGAAACTTCACTTGATTCAGGTTTTGAGATCCTCTGCACATGCTATTTTCTTCTCCAAAATGTCTTTACTTCTTTGTTTGCTTAATGAACTATTAATTGCAGGATTTGTTCAAGGGTCATTCCTCCTCATCCTTAAAGAAGGACTGGTCATTTCTATTTTTATTTTTACATAGAACTTTTTGTGTATATTTATGTAATAGTATGTATCAGTATATAATTTAATGGTTTGGTTTAATACATATTTATGAAAGGATAATTTTTCTAAGTTATGAAGTAAACATAGAAGGGAGCAAACATCAAGGGCTTTGTAGTCAAAGGGGAACATGAAGTTGAAACTGTCCTTGTAGTCAGGTAATACAAGGTTTGATTCATTAATATGTCTTTATACATGTGACCTTGGCAATTTTCTTAGCATTTCCCTATGCACCTGAGTTCCCTAATTTATTAAGATAATAAATCTGCCTTGGAAATTTACTATAAAAATTAAATGTAGGGAAAACAACTTATGCAGCATTTATACAGCTAGGTTCTCAATGAACAGTAGCTGTATTATTATGTGTGAACTATTTTGCTAATTAGCTAATTAATCAAGGGAGACCACAATTAAAAATGGCAGATATTGCTTCATTTAAAGAAATAAGATTAAAAAGTAAAGGAAAAGCAATGTTTTTAAGTCATTTTCAGAGTTTACTGGATTGCATTTTCTTTACCTTCGATCATGATTCTTATATCTTGTTGACTCAGAATAATTATTATATAAAGGAGAATATTTCTGATGTTTTGAGTCAGGGATCCCTTCTTTACTCTGACTGTGTGAAAATGATTGGCTTATCCTACAAAGAAAATAGAAACTCATTACATTTAGTTTTTCATAAAGGAAAAAGTGTAATGACTAAAATGTTGAACACACACAAATTACAAGATGTTACAAAATTTTTAAGAAAAAGGCATTCAATAATTGAAAAGGGTAAAACAATACATAAAGAATACATCTTGCTTAGAAGAATATTAACACATTATCATTCTTAGTACCAATGAATGTAAAGAGACTTAAAATCTGTGAACTAGAGAGTGAAAATAAGATTTGAAACAAAACCCACATGCACAAGTATGACCATGTCACCCAGGTGTACCTAAGACTCTCTTATAACTTTTTGTTTGTTCCTGGAATAAGCCCCCAGACCACAAATCTGCAGGGTCCCACCTGATTTATCATCTCATATCATTCTCTTTGTTCTATGGCTCCAGTTATAGTGATCTTCTTTTTTCTTGAATATGTCATGCTCCTTCTTCCACATTTTTTTTTCTTTTTTATTTGAGATAAGATTGTTGTTATGTTGCCTAGTTTGCATTCAAACTTATGACGCTTCCTTCCTCAGCCTCCTGCAAATGCTGAGTTTACTAGCATCCATCACTAGCCCTTACAGGGCTTTTGATCCACCTATTCTTTACCTTCTTTACATCACTTTCTGCTCATCCACTAGATCTCATTATGAGTTTTACTTCCTCAGGAATACTTTCTCTGACTCTTTAGAGCCCCAGAATACTCAAAGTCTAGTGTTACATATCTGAGACATTTGTTCCTTTCCTTCATTACATTTATCTCAATTTTCAAGTATTTGTTCACTTACTGTATTATTTTTCCAATGTTTATCATCCATACTAGACTATAAGCCCATATCTACATAACAAGTATCCACAAGAGTGCCTAGAACAGTGGTGGCAAACCTATATGGTAAGCACACTACAGTGGACTGTTTGTATCTCTATTTGCCATCACTGGTCTAGAACATAACAAACACTCATGACATATTTTCTGAATAAATATTAACCTATTTGTTTCAGCTCTGGTCCTCTGTTGTTTCATGAAATCTGGAAGGTGTTGCCGTTGATGGTCATACAGTGTTGCTAGGGGAGTTCCTGAGGCAGTCATGGCATCTGAGATGTGCGTTCGAGTCAACTCTGCCATCTAAGTATGAATACAGAATAAAGATAAAAGTAGATATAAAAGATCATGTCACACAGGAACTGAAAGGGAGTACAGTGTCTTGATAAGATCACTGAACTGAAAGCAAGCGAATTCTGTCACTAACTGATAACATATTCTGGGCAGCCAATCTAGCTTGAGTCCCAAGAAACTCATCCTATAAAATAGAGTTGGATTATATGATTTCTAAGGCTTTACCCATCTATAATAAACTACAAATTAGGCAGAAAACCCATAAGCCATATAATAAGAAGTAGATAATCAAAATTAAGCCTTCTTTGAAGAATAAACTCAATTATTATTTCCCTTCTAAGGCTTTACTTACAATGTAAAGTACATCTGCCTGGCTCTTTACACAATTGCAACTGTCACATCTATTATTTGTTTCATATTTACTCAATTACTGTCGTGAGTTACTCCTGCTGCTGACTTAAAAGCATTTCTGAAATATTTTGTTAATGCTGTTTACTACATTAAACTTTTTTCAGCAAAGATTCAATTATGTATTTATTTGTACATTTCCACCTTACCCAACATCTACCAGTTTCATACAGTCTTAATATGGACTTCACAAAATAGTCCTTAACTTGTTCAAAAATTATTGCAAAATCAAACCAAACTGTATCAACAGATTATATATCCTTTACATAGAATACAGTGAAACTATGGTATTTTTGGCTTTCCCTTTCGTGCAGCTTTTAAAAAAGACACTGACTAACATCAGTCTGTATACAAATGAAACATCCTAATACAAAGAAGATAGTGGCTTCCACAGATGAGGATGGGACTGAAGATGCATAAAGAAATTATTTAGAGTAATAAAAAGTATTTTATTTTTGATTATAGTGTTATTTATAGGGACAAACACGTTATATATGTATTTAAAATTTATGTACTATGTTGTTTATAGGTTACACATCACTAGAGTTAATACTTTCCTAAAAAGCTTATGAGAAGGTAGCAATTAGAGTTCATCTTTTTCTAACTACTGTTACTATGTACGTACAACACTAATTAATGGAGCTGCTCATTTCAAAAGGGTCCTACTAAAAGTCACTGATTCAAATTACCCTTTTGCTAGATGACAGAAACCATTACTGATAAGACAAAGTTACTCAAATTGACCAAAGACCTAAAAGAAGATGGGGGTTCTTCTTGGCTCTCACCTCACAGATCTGGTGAGCTGCATCTGTGGTAAGGTAAGCAGTCTCTGTCTGCTGAGCTGTTATTTTACAAGTTGCTTCCTGAACAACTTCAGTTACTTCCCTTTGTGATTTAACTACCTGCTGTAATGATTCTGCATGGACCTATAAATGAAAGGAGACAATAAAACGAATTTGGGTTTCTGCCTCCCTCCACCCAAATTAGTTTTAATTCATAAATTTGCTTCATGGGTAAACTGTCTTATTAAAAACAAAGGTGACTACAACTTGGATTTCACACCTTAAATTATAACAACACAGTAATGTGTCTGTTGACTAGTAATTATCAGCTACGACTTCTTTAAATTGCAAATCAGACCTTACTTTAAGAAGGTTGATACAGAATCAAATAGAATAATGAAATTATTCCATATTAAGTACTACGATGTAATAATCTATATTTTAAAAACAATTTTATTGAAAAACAAATAGCAATGAGACAGTTTCAAACCAAATTGGTAGGACAGTTTCAATAATTAACACATTGCATACATTCTTTCTAGTAGTTAATTGCTGTACAAGATGCGGACATGACATCCTATTTACAAACACCATTAGAAAAAATCCCTCTATTCATTAAGAGAATGAAACTATATATCTATCCTAACCACTTTGAATACACAGATACAAAATGGACATTCATCTGTATCCCCTTTTTTTGTTAAGTTCCATCATTTAAATATTATAGGTGTGTAAACTCAGCAAAATATTCTAAAAGAGTCCAGTAGTCCATAATAGTATTGGGTCTTCTGCTTCACTGGCAATGCCAGAAATTGTTGACCTGAGTCCCCTACAGCTCAACATAACAGCATGGCTTTACTTCTCATACTTCGTTTTTATACTTTTCTACTGGATGGTTAAGACCAAGGTAAAGCAGGACCCATGCAACAAGAGTTGTAGCTTTTGGGTCTGATAAGGTCAGTGAAATCCCCTCAGGAATTATGCTGAGATCCTGTACCTCAGATTGTAGATCCTTTGTCAGTGTCAGCCATGTGGATGAGTCACAGCCATTGCTTGGCCAAGAAAGCCTGAGAGAAATGTTTTCTCTCCTTGTGACTCTCCTTAGGCACACTCTACATCATCGATCACTTTCCTCTTTGGCCTCATAATCTCCTTGATCAGAAAATTTGGGACACTACCGAGTTACATGACATTACAGTACAAGTTCTCATATGTCCTGAGTCTTAATTGACCTTCGAAGCCTAGGCCCAAAATGTTGGCTTTCCTTGTGGCCCTACTTTTTCTCTAATTTTGGTCTGCAAACTTAGGTTGTTAACCATCCAGAAGACAAGCTTATTGTCATTACCATACAACCCAGGCTGTTAAGCTTAACCTCACTATATGTCTGAATATCAAACATCTTAGGTATAACATGGAACAGGTATTTTTTATCAGGTATTGATATGTTCAACTTTAAGTCCCTATAGAATATGAAAAAACATTTAAACATTAGAATATATTTTTAAAAATAGGCATAAAGAATTATATAATTCTTAAGTTTACACATAAGTCCAAAAATCTAACTATATACAACCTTGAAGCAGGATAGTCCCACAATATTCGTTTTCCTATCTCTTGCCTTCATTCACACCCCCTTCTTTTTGAACAATCATCTACCTGAGACAGCACAGCAGCAACTAGTACATCAGGACAAACAGCCCGTATTCAGAAAACCAGTATGACAGGAACTCCAACCATGAAACTACTATTACAGATTACCATCTGCAGTGCAGTAGCTTAGTTCACAGGTATCAGTATATATAGTTAGTCAGGGTGAGAATCTTTCCAATTAACTGTTAGATTCAAAAATCTTCTGGAGATTCTCAGGATCATCGCCCTGCCCATCTTCTACATATAACTGTATGGCTTGACATTGTCATGTTTCCTAGCTCTTCTCCTTTCCCTCTCTTGATTAGTTAGTCTTCAAGATCCTGCTTTCCTTTTACTTGTATTATACTTTTCTATTTGTATTTTTTCTTTTGAGTTCTTATATTAGGGAAACTATATGATATTTACACATGTGTGTCTGGTTTATTTCACTTATGAGTACATCTTCAAGTGGCATCCACTTCAATATAAAAGCTTTGAGTTCTGCATTCTTTATAGCTGAATAATACTCCATTGTGTAAAAATACCACATCTTTTTCAACCATTCCTCAAGTAATGGGCATCTTAGTTGTTTCCAAGATTTGGCTATCACAAATTGTGCTATAATAAACATAGAAACACATATATCCCTATGATATGATGTTTTCAGATCATCCAGGAAAATTCCCAGTAGAGGAATAGCTGGTTTAAATGGCATTTCCAGTCCAACTTTTCTAAGGAGTCTCCACCCTGATTTCCATAATGGTTGCACCAGTCTACGTTCCCACCAGCAGTGGAGACGGGTTCCTTTTTCCCCACAGCCTCTTCAACATTTGTTGTTGGGTGATTTCCTTATGATAGCCATTCCTTCTGGGGTGAGATGACATCTCCATGTTATTTTAATTTGCATTTCGTGGATGGCTAGTGATGTGGAGCATTTTTTCATATATTTATTCGCTTCTTTAATTTCGTCCTCTGAGAAGTGTGTGTTCATCTCGGATGCCCATTTCTGGATTGGGACTTTAAATTTTGGGGCCTTGCACAGTGAAACGGCGGAGACCGTGGTGGACACCCAGAGGCTTATCACTAAGCCGCAGAACCTGACTGATGCCTACAGGCTGCCCAGCAATTTCCTCGAGTTCGATGTGAGCAACGCGCAGCCGGTGGGGGTTGGCCGGGGCCACTTCACCACCTACGACATCAGGGTCAACACAAATCTTCCTATTTTTAAACTAAAGGAATCTACTGTTAGAAGAAGATACAGCAACTTTGAATGGCTCCGAAGTGAATTAGAAAGAGAGAGCAAGGTTGGAGCTCCCCTGCTCCCGGGGAAGGCATTTTTGCATCAACTTCCTTTTAGAGGAGATGATGGAATATTTGATGACAATTTTATTAAGGAAAGGAAGTGAGGCCTAGAGCAATTTATAAACAAGGTCGCTGGTCATCCTCTGGCCCAGAATGAACGTTGTCTTCACATGTTTTTACAGGATGAAATAATAGATAAAAGCTATACTCATCTAAGATAAGGCATGCTTGAAATTTGGCAAAGGCAAAAATGTGGCTATCCATGTTTCATATGCAACACTGAAGAAGATCTAACTACCCCGTAGCATGCTGCACAGAAACTGTATAACATGCCTTCAGTATAGTAACACTCATGTGCACAGTTTTGTTTGGTGGTTCACAAGTTAATTTGCTTTAGTGAAAATCTCTGTATGTTTGGCCCCTTTGTCAAAGATAAGGTGGCTGAGTGTGTTCGTAGGGGCTTCAG